CCGTGGGCCAGCCTAAACCCTCAAACTCGATTTTCTGGGCCTCAATCCTAAACCCTTGTTCCAGGATCATGAACTGATGTGAGGTTCCTCATCAATAGTACTGCTCATTTCTCAGGCCCCTCATACATAGAAAGAATCCGAGCGGCAGCCCTCAATCCTAAACCTTTGATGAGGACCTAAATGCAGATCTTGGTTGTTTTACCTAGTAGGATCCCCTATATGAGACACTTAAACCATGTTTCTGTAAAGCGCAGGCCCTTCGGCGAGCCAAACGGGTCGGGCCGGCCAGGATCCGCCGGTCGCAGTGCCCGGCACTCAGGAGGAACCCGAAGTCAAGCCCATGCAGTGACAAAACGGTTTGACAAGTGTTGCACATTCTTTTTTACGGGCTCTACTAAAAATGTGACTTCAATTGTGGAAGCATTTAAAGACCAGGCCACAGGGGATTTTCTTGTGACACATAATGCAGGAAGTTTGACCATGAGCAGGTCCGGATGCCTGGTGGAGCTCCCAAAGCCGGGGACGAGGAGTTGCAGGCACGAGTTAGTAATGGGGTTGTATGTGGCTTCACAGGCTTTAAGCGTGGTTTGCGATGTTTTGCGCTCTTCTATTGCATTTTGCAGGATTTCTGGGAGTTCAATGCATATAGGATGGTCCTTCCCAGTGGTGAACAAAGAAAGATTAGGGCATCTGTTTGAAGGGGATCCTATTCATGGACTTGCTCATAGGGCTGGATCCACTGTACGCGAAAGTATCGGATTTAAGGACTATGCCTATTCGTAATTTTATGTTTTCCGTTGTCAGGGGTGTAGGAGTTCAGAGTTTTTGTTGTTGTGTAGGGCTTTGGTTTCCTAATCGAGCATGCCTGGGCTTGCCTGACGAACTAGGATTCGATGGTTTGTTGATGTTTTTAGACCTCGTCCTGTTTGGAGGGCCCTGGGCGCAGCAGCGGCTACGCCGGCAGTTTCAGCGGTGGCTACCGGGGAGGTTACGGCGGCGCGGAGACTGTGCTGCACAACGATTGCGGCTTGATGCAGTGTTTCAGGGCTGAAAGTCTTTCCTAAACCCTTAGACGGTAACCATCGTGACCGCAAGGGCCCCAAAGTCTGTCTAAGCATCAAAGCTGCAAAGCCCAGAAGCTTTAAAGCCTTGAGCCGTGAAATCCTTGGTCACCAGTCCCCCACAACTAAATGCTAAACCCCAGGCCCTAGACACCAGACCTGTAAAGTCCTACAGCCATGAAGCTGCAAATCCCGGCAACCTTTACAGCTAAAGAGTCAAATATCGAGCCCCAAAACCCTGAAGCCACCCCAAAGCCCTATTCACGGAAACACCAAACAAAGCAAAAGAACTGCAAACGAGAGATATGAGGAAGCGAGTCGCCGACCGTCCTTGGCCTCCTACACCGGGAGGGAGGAAGAGCCGCTTTAGCGTTCAGGGTCTAGGTTTGGGTTTCTGGACTCAGTTTAGGGTGTGGGTTTAATGTTTCGGGCTTCAGGGTTTGGGGTCTTATGGTGTTTTAGTGCCTGGGGTTCTGGAACGGCTCTAGAAACCCCTTCTTCTGTTGAAGCTTGAAACCTACGATCCTCCCTTCAATGGCTTTCGGACTCAGAGGAGGGCAGGGTTTCGGGCTTGCAGGGTTCGAGTAGCTCTTCCAGGTGAGGGCCTTAACGGGTTCGTCGGTTTCGTAAGCACCGTTCATATGAGTAGGGACTGCAATTCGCGTTTCAAGTTTTGGGCTTTCTGCCCTTTTGGCTGAGGGTTGTGGATCATGTATGAACATTCCCTGGTCACCTGGTCAAGGGTTACGGTGCTCTTAGCTGCCCCCATTGAAAGTTTATGTTCTTTACGCAGGATCGCATGCGCCGAAACAGCAGCCACGATGTCGGGCCCGGTGCTCAGCTGACACTTCGAGACTTTAACCTTTTTGTGGGTCTCGGGTTGTGCGGGTCTCCCCAGACACGCTTTCACTGTGACACTGCTACATTCTCGGGAAGCAGAACAGTGCCGAAAGAAGCCTAAACCCTCAGCCCCTCAATCCTAAACCTTGTGCCTTGCGTGATGCTTCGATTGTGGGATGCCAATCATTTTTTTTTCAATCAAAAAAAACTGTTTGTCAATCAAAAATTGTTTTTCCAATCAAAAAAATCTTTCCCTTAATAAAGGAAGCACGACAGGAAGGAAGGAAGGAAGGAAGGAAGGAGGGAAGGCAGGAAGAAAGGCAGCAAGGAAGGATGGCAGGAGGGAAGGCAGGAAGGAAGGAAGGAAGGAAGGAAGGCGGGGAGAAAGGGCGAGGAAGGAAGGAAGGAAGGAAGGCAGGAAGCAAGGAAGGAAGCAAGGCAGCAAGGAAGGAAGGCAGGCAGGCAGGCAGACAGGAAGGAAGGCAGGAAGGAAGGAAGAAAGGAAGGAATGAAGGCAGGAAGCAAGGAAGGAAGCAAGGCAGCAAGGAAGGAAGGCAGGCAGGCAGGCAGACAGGAAGGAAGGCAGGAAGGAGGGGACCCTATTTTTTTGACCTTTTTTTTTCTTTGCCTTTTATTTTTTTTCTCTCCCCCTTGTGGGCCTCGGTTAAAGGCGTTCACTGCAGAGCTGGCACCTGGCCCTACGCTTCGCCATGATTTAACTATACTATTAGTACAACAACAACTACTACTACTACTACCACTACCACTACCACTGCCACTGCCACTACCACCACCACTACTACTACTACTACTACTACTACTACTACTGCTACTACTACTACTGCTACTACTACTACTACTACTACTGCTACTGCTGCTGCTACTACTACTACTACTAGTTCTGGTACCAGTACTAGTACCAGTACTAGTAGTAGTAGTAGTAGTACTACTACTACTACTACTACTAGTAGTACTAGTACTACTACTACTACTACTACTATTACTACTACTACTACTACTACTACTACTACTACTACTACTACTACTACTACTACTACTACTACTACTACTACTACAGATAGAGAAAGTTTTTTTTGGTTGGAAAAAAGTTTTTTCTGATTGGTGAAAAAGTTTTTTTGATTTTCGCTGATTTTTTTTTTGATTGAAAAAAGTTTTTTTTTGATTGGTTTCCCTCGATTGTCCCCTTTGCCAACTCCGGAAGCTACCATAGCGCGTTGTTACGGCGAGACATAAGACTCTGCATAGAGATCATCTTGTGCCTTTAGTTTGTCTCCTTATTAATGAAGCAGGGTCGTGTGGGGTGTTGCAGCTAATATTGACAGAGGGTCACCTGCAAGTGCGCTTGCATGTTTCGGCACTGTCCTCCCTGTCTTTGTGGCGAGAGGGACAGTGATGATGTGAAGTAGAAGGACCTATCCATAGCAGGAAATTCATGACTGTTATGGTTTCTGGCATTTAAAAGATAATGCAGGATGTTGTCCTCCAGCAGTACGTCGGCCAACATTCGCCGCATGTCGCGGTCCTATCGTCTTGTAAAGACCCTACCAGCTGCCTTCAGCCGCTCTAACCCCGAACCCTGAGAGCCACGACTCGACTCACCAAGCCCAGCAACCTAGCAGGAGTATCATGGTGCCGAAGTCGGTGAATAGCATCCGGAACCAGGCACCGCCCAGATACGGCTGTGGGGTGCTATGAGTGTCTCATAGGGGTTTCGTGCGGGTTGAACTTGCTTGTAGGGGTTTCTATCATCTAGGGTTCAGGCGCATCACCCGCACTGCGAAAGGTCCAAAATCAACATTGAATTTATGCAGCGGACGGCGCGATCTTAACTAGAAGTCATTTATAGTGGGATAAGATACCTGTCTTGGGAAGTCTCTCGCATTGCAAGCTTTCAGGGCCAGCCCGTCCGTTCGAATCATCTGGATGGTCCCCACCTCTTCTGTTGCTGTTGTTGTGGTGATGGTTTTTGAACAGCGACGATGTCTCCGAAGAGCGAGAATGCGATTATGTCTTGCACTGGGATGAAGTAGACACCTTCTTCTCCACAGTACCAAGTCCCCAAATGCCTGCAGGCTTCTCGGCTCCGCTCGTGCTTCGAAGCGGCGAAATCCTTCGTCCGCTACGTAGGAGTTGGCACAGCAAGCAGCACATGCAGTAGAAGCAGAGCGAGTTCTTGTATTCGGGCGAGCAATAGTTGCAAATGTTTTCAGACAAGCGAAAACTAAGGTCAACAACACAGAACGGCCTTCAGAATCTGACCAGACTGTGCGAGCAGACACAGCAGTCAGAAAATGACCACACGGCAGTTTCACTATGTACTCCTAGGTGGTCTTATAATCCAGACTTCAGACGCTGAAACAGGGTGTTGCCTGATAACATATTCGCAGCAGCTAGGAATACAGGTTCTCACTGTGTGGAGCGGTTTAGGGAAAGCCTGAGGAAAGCCACGGCATGGGTTGTTTCGGTTCCTTCGCTCTGAAGCCTGAATCGATCCCTCCGTGCCAGGTCCTCACCACCAGGGCCTCAGCGCCTCTGCTGCTTAAGCATCTCATGACTAAAGCATGTACGGGCTACAGTTCAGAGTTCTTTCCGGGCTGGCGCACTGAGAGACGAGAACCGAAGACGCATAAACATCTTTCAGGCTTCAGCAAAAGCCCACATTCGCAGGCTTGATGCGGGCTTGGTGGGGGTTTTCAGCATAGAGGTGTATATCGGGCACTCCCCCCCGCACGCCGTCTACAGTTTAGGTTGGGGCCTGTTGGGGCCTGTTAGCGGTTCTGGTAATTCTTCTCGGTAATAGAAAAGGCGAGTAAAAAGGGTTCCTCAACAAAGACTAACAGCTATCTGCTAGCTAACCAATCTTTATCGGCATGAATGACTCAGCCTCAGCAAACTAGCAGAAAGGATGATGACAGTTGTCTTCAGAATAACAGCGGCGGTATAGAGCAAGGTCAACCACGAACTGCATCAACAATTGCAACGACAAGAGAACAGCAATGACGGCAACAACATGGCGCATAACAACTGCAGGCAGCAGCAGTTGAGCCAGCCATATAGCTTCTTATCACTAATCTTTCATCACTGACGCAAAACCTGCACATCCTATCCACTACACCCCTAACCGCGCTACCTTCCAAGCCTAGGAGGCCGTAGCAACGGACAGCGCAGCCATCGCGCGCGCTCGTGGGAGAAGACCCTCAGTCGTCGAGGCGCAACAGTTGACATACTTGAGCAGCAAGTCATGTGGGAATGGTGTTCTCAAATTCACGGATAGGGGTCTTAAAAGAAATCTTTCAATGTTGGAGTCCACTGTTTTTTTTGCAGCTAACATATCTCGATGGTTCTAGAAAGCCCTGCAATACTGTGTATGTCCCTCATGAAAAACGACAATGTCAGCAGTCCCAGGCAACCTTCAGCACAAGCTCCTCTCCGTCAACGTCCGCCTCAACACCAGAGGCGACCGGCGAGAGGTGCGCTGGTCTCTAGATTCCGCTTTTTTGGCTCAGGGCTTTCGTGTTTTGAAATTTAGGGGGGTTCACCGGTTTGGGTTGAATGCTTTCGGTCTCAGGGTTTACGACCGAGCAGGATCGGAGTTTGAGAAGAATGTGCAACGACACTGCAAATATGTATTGGGTTTCGGGTCGTCTTGTGCCCAATGTTCGCACCGCAAGAGACGTACGGAGCAAAGCGCGAAATGATCGGCAAGCCCCCTGTACGACTCTACGAAGCGCAAATGCCAAAGCATGCTGGGCCTTTTCCCTCAAGCTTCGGGGGCCCACATACACATAAGGATCTTAATCTTACCATTGGGGTACGTGGCATCCACAAAGTCTAAACCCTAGCCCTAATCCGTAATCTCGAACTCTGATCCCTCATTATGAGAACTACGTATGTTGACCAGTTGACGGGTGTTCTGGACCTGAAGCCCTGAACCCGCCGACCTTGCAGATTCGCAATAAAAATAACACCTAGGCTTTTGGAGTTCAGGGCAGTAGGAGCTTGGGATTCGGGTTTCGGGTATGTTGCTAGAGTTTCGTGGGCCCCCGAAAAGGCAGACCCAAGACTTCTCCTTCGAGGATTCCCGGCCCCACCCAGCAGAGGTCGAAGGAAGGAAGCCAAGCCCTGAAACCGTGAATCCAAATTCCTAAAACACTACACCCTTCACCTTGGACTTTTAAGCCTGCCACCCTAAACTCCTAAACATCCACGACGCTTGCTTTGCCCAAATTTTGCTGCCTCCAGGTGCTTGGAGTGAGTGCCATTTGCAGCTTCTTGGCGAGCTACTCGGAGATCCCATGAGGTCCTGAAAGTTCTTGGGTTGAGGGTTTTACGGCTTAGTGTTAACCGTCGTATGCAGGTTTCTCCATCCCATCCCATCCTATGAACCGATCAGGCTTTTAAAGGGGCCTGCTTGATCAATGCGGGGTCCTTACCGGGTCTAATTGCAGCTGTAGTGGTGTATAACCGAATCAATCATGTTGCAGGAAGTGGCGCCACCAATTTTGAGGGGGCTGCGAGATGGGTTTCTCGGGGACTGATGAAGCGGTGTAAGCTGCTATGCAAGATCTGGTCGTCAAGTTAAGAGGCAACGTAGGCAACAACTCTTGGCTTGACTGAGCTTTGTTCAGAGATAAACGAGTTAAAGATTGTTTGTGTCTCTATTGCTTATATAGGGCTGCTTCCGTTTTCAGGGTCGTTTCTCCGAGATGAGGCGTGCCAACTGGTTTCTGCTTCAGGTCGCCCATCTCAGACCTACCGCGAATATACACAAGCCCGAAGGCTGCAAGTGTCTTTAAGGATCCCAGATAAAGTCTCAGATGGCCAACTGATGCAGCTCAGTTGCCAGTGGCTTGCCGGCAGTGGAAAAACAGCCGGCAGGCTCTTGCAACGTCTAGCCACGTTGCCCAGGGCGTTCCAGAAACTGGAAGCCGATGTTGAGGTACGCACGGTTGCTTGGATGCTAGCTATTCAGCATCTCGACTCGCATGCAAATTCTCTTAGGGACGGCAGCAACGGGTGAACATGTACACCGAGATCAAGATCAAGAATTCCTCGCCGCGATTCGCTGCCTGACCTCGTCATTTTGCATTGCCTTCCGATTCCTTCCGAGGATTATTCTGAAGTCGAATTCTTGTTCATGAAGACAGTGACTGCATCCCATCAGCAATCTGACCGGGCATCATGGGTTCATAGAGTACTATGCGAGATCATGCCCGAATGTGACAGTTGAATACATTGTGGCGCAAGAACTAATGCTGCGAGCATAGACAGTCCAACTAGTTGCATCCATGCAAACAGTTCGAAAGCATTAAGCATCGTAACCAAATTTATCGTAAGCATAGGTACGGCGTCAAGACATGCTGATGGATCAGTACTGTGCCCTGCAGCATACTCGGATAAAGAGTTCATGCGACAGGCCCATTGACAGAAGCACAGCTTGGTGTAGTCATGCAAATCAGCTTGCTCGCGGAGACCAGAATCATACCACAGTTCAGTCGGGGCCTCGCGAATTACAAGCACATTCCGGGGTGTGTACAGCATTGCCCCAAGAGAGCGCACGCCACATCTTCGTTCCATGCAGGACACTGTGCCGTTCTAGAAAATCGGGAAACTAGGTTTGGTTTGTCCGGGGTAGGTAGAATTCTCACAGTCACAGTGGCTTTCACAAGTATTGTCAGGCTGCTGCCCTCAGAGTTCTGCCCGAGGAAGAGAGCTACGGGTCATTGGTTTTGGGGATCATGCGCTGATCTCTTGGTCAGTGTTATTCTCCTTTCACACATGGCACAACGCTGATACAGCCACCGCACAGCCACTTAATTATGCACCATTCCTCTCCTTTCCCGATTTGCTTTCCAGACAGAAGCGGCGAGGCCAGTACTGTCGACGGGTAAACCCTGCCACGCCTTGAGGTCACCTTAAAACATGAAGTATCCTAGTATGGGAGCAATATGGTATGCGCACTCCTCACTAACTACGAATAATCCCTCGAGAGATCAACCCAGCTGGAGTGATTGTGGGTGCAGGGGCTGGTGGTTGGGATTGAGAGCTTGGCCAGTTTGCCCTCATCCCTTAAATCCTGAGTTGCATGTTAGTTCATGGATTAGGGTTGAGGAGCTTTGGGTTTGAGGCTGGCATGGGGTTTAGGATTAGAGTTGAGCAGGCACGCATGGCAGTCGAGGGGGCTCTCCCGAAGGGATTCACCTCGGCCTTTGCTTAGAATCCACGGTCTTTTTTCTTGCGTGCGCAGACCCGGTGATCGCGAAACAGGCCGGGAGGACGTTGCATTCACGAACCTTGGTACCTAAAATACATCAGTGTGTGGTAACGTGGTGTAAACAAGTTTCCGAGCTTTGGCGTTGTAGCGTTTCGCGCGTTTGCAAGATTCCTCCTCATGGCCACAAGCCTGCACAATCTTGCGCTACTCGCCTCTTGACAGATTCCTGATCTCATGAGCGTGCAAGTCTTCCTTTGAAGTAGAACTGTGTACACTTCTAGTGTCAACTGGTGGACAGCGAACTCGTATCCCGAAACCCCACGGCCCCAGAACCTCAAGCCGCAAGCCTTGAACCTACGGCCCTATATAACCGCCAAACCCACACAGCCTAAACCGTGCTCGGGCTGTGGTCCCGAAGGGTTTTTCTGAAGGCTGCCGTCTCCAGGTAACAAGGCTCGTGCTTGTACTTGTAGGTTCAAGGCCGGTCAAGGTATGTAGGGTGTTGAGTTTAGGATCTTAGTTAAGAGTATCTTGTCCTTTAGGGTTTCTGGATTCAAGGTTTAGGGTCACGGTCTGGGGTCTAGGCATGCAAGGAAGCTGTGAGTACCTCGTTTACACAGAAGCACTTACTAAGCTTCAAGGAGTTTAGGGGATAGTCTAGTGGCTTTGGGTTACTAACTCCCTTAAGATTTCCAGACCCTTACCAAGGACAGCTTTTGGAGTTAGGCAGTGTTCTTGCAAGTTGCTGAGAAATGGTACCCGTAGCCCTTTGACCCTAAACCTTTTCGTCCTTTTCTCGAGCTATGCGTCCTCCCTCGTCTCGAGGATCAAGTAAGTAATACAGGGCCTCGGGTGGGGGTTTAGGGGTTTAGGCTTTTTGGCTTCAATCCTAAATAATATGATAAACAGTCGACCCAACACAAAACCGAAAACTCTTTTGTGATCGCATTCGACTATAGTTACTATAGTGCCCAGGCCTACGCGCGACCGCATCGGATGCCTGAGCTTAGGATAAGCCGGGCCTGTTCAGAGTTTAGGATGGAGTGCTTCGGGTTTGGGCGTTAACCTGCTGGTCATGGTGATGCAGACTTGGTAGTCTGGTTAAGGTCCAATCGAGTATTCCTGCAGCACGGAGGTTTGGCAGGTGGCGACAACTCCTGCATGGAACGGACATCGCGTTTCTAGGTCCGAGCATATGGCATGTGCTTTTCCTCTCTATAAACTGTCTTTGAACATGGATAACTCAATGTTCACAACCACTGCGTGTGCTACGGCTCAGTGTTCAAACTTCGCCAGCCAAGCCTACACGCAGCCGGACCCAGTCAACCCTAGCCCCAAGAAAAGCCATAAACCCGCCGAAAGCTTCTAGACTCTAGGCTACAATGGCCACATTCATCATCAAACCTATGCCTGCAAGAGACATAGGGCTTCAAACCTGCAGTCACTTCTCCTGTGGCCACATGCATCGTCGAGAGCATGGTGTGGCAGCCCAGATTGCCGGGGGTGGGTCTTCGCACCAAGAAGAGATGCCGGCCCAATCCTAAATCTCGAGACTCGACTCTAAACCCTGACCCTTGCTCCTTTAACGGGGATATGTGGAAGCCTATGGAGATGTTCGATTCTGTAGACATTCAGGTTTATAAAGCGTAGGGGCTTATCCTATCGGAGTACGAATGTGAGGGGCTTGGATGAAAATGGGCGTGAGTAAGTGAAGTCATCGGGGCACCGCAATTGAGGTCATAAGTCAAAAAGCTTGTAACATAGTGCTATACGCAACCAACACCACATTGCGCCGGGAGAATCCCCGGCTTCTACACACTCCTTGACGCCAGGCCAAAGGTGCCCGACGGCGGTGCTTTGAAGTCCACATGAAAACAACTAGTCCTGCTGAAGAGTTGAACCCGATAGCAGTCCGATAGCTATTCTGCTCCCAAGCGAAACCTACTTAAGGTCATACATCTGCGTGTAAAGACCCAACCCGATAACAACCATAATACCATCATTCCCAAATCCGACAAGAAGCTTCAGCCAGCTGAATCCCTTCAACAAACTTGGCTTGTCAAAACAAATCGGGAACAGCTTCGCTAAAGACCAGACAGCCTTGCAGCAAGCCCTATGCTCTTGACGCCCAATGCAGCGGCCCGATGCGAATCCCAAAGAGCCCGAATATTCCATGATAAAGCCATATACCTGCTGTATACATTGAAGTAAAGAGTATAGAATCCATGCAGTCCCTTTGACAAGCGGTATTGAGCTCTCTCGGAAGTACCAGGCGGACTCCCGCACCGAAAGCTTGGAAAGCGCCGCGAGATCGGGCGTCGGAGTAGGCCTTGCATAGGACGTAGGGGGCAGTTTTATGCTTTTGGTGAGTGTGTATAGGGCTCCTTTTGTACAGAGGCGAGTGTATATTGTGAGTGCTCTTAAGAGGATATTAGCAACAAGGATCCTTATATTCCATAGGAAGCCAAAAGGCAGTGTTTACAAAGCCAGGAAAATCCAAAACAGCGTTTTTTCGTGAGGGGTTTAAGGTCTTCGGCATGTCTTGTTCTGTGTGAATCAGGGTGTTTGGAGATGAGCTCAGATTGAGTTTAGTCTGTCGAAGACTTTCGGCGATGTCAAACAATTAGGGCCTAAGATATTGACTATGGCGATGATGATGTTGATGACGATGATTATGATGGTGATGCTGATGACAGTGGTAGCAGTAGCGGTCATCATCATGATCATAATCAGGATGCTGCGGATTTCTGATCTACGTCAGGGTTTTTTTTCTTGGATCTCGCCTGTCACGTGGGTTAAGGTTGTGGGGGTTGGAGACTTCCGCTTTATGTAGGAAAGCCACAGAATTCCATTTCAACAACAAGTCTACTTCAACGAAGCAGATCTGAAAGAGGGCATGCATCCCAAAACGTACTCCCAATGCTCTGCCACCTCGAATGTCCCATGTCTGCTGCTATGCTCGCAGCAGGTCTCGATTACCTCCAGCAGGAGGCGCAAGCTTGAAATCAGACGCCTCCCACGTTCGTGAGTATAACCCGAAA